CACCTTTAGGAGGATGTGTTTCTATTGATCACCTTTAGGAGGATGTGTTTCTATTGATCACCTTTAGGAGGATGTGATTCTATTGGTCACATTTAGTAGGATGTGATTCTATTGATCACCTTTAGGGGGATGTGATTCTATTGGTCACCTTTAGGAGGATGTGACTCTATTGGTCACCTTTAGGAGGATGTGATTCTATTGATCACCTTTAGGAGGATGTGATTGGCTGGTACAGACAGCGGAGGAACTCGGACCAACAGATGACGTTCAGAGAGAAGATCGTCCACGAGAAGCTGAAGACATGTCTGTCCAACCCTCATGTGATCTTTGTGCTGCTGACGCCCAGCAGGTCGACTCCGACAGGCTCCACCCACAAGATGGAGTACGCCGCCTTCATCTCACGCAGCAGGTAAAAAAAACATTTTAAACAGAATATCTTTAGTTTTAGTCTGAAGACGTCACTTAAGGAGGCATTCTCCACGATTTTATAGACAAAATAATCAATCAATAAACAACAAGAAACATAAAATAAGAAGAAACATGAATCATGAGGATCCTGTTTCCTTTATTTAAATGTTTAATACGTAGCTGTTCCTTATTAAGATGTCTAAAAAGACTGATATATTTGATAGTATTACAACAATGTTCCAACATGATGTTTGTGATGTTGATATATTTATATATATATTTATATATTTCTTGAAGGCAGTTTGTGAACGTTCCCGTGCTGGTCAACAACCTGGGTCTACTGGAGCAGCTGGCGTACTGGAAGGAGTCGACGTCGTGCTCCGCGGCCGGTTACAACCTTACCATGAACACACACGGGTACCATCACCATGAACACACACTCTGATAGAAACAACGTGGACAAAGAACAAGTATTTTATTGCTCAGAGCGTTAAAGCAACACGTTGTAGCTGTTTCCTGTTTTTTCTTTTTATATTGGAAAGAAAGACCGGTTTGATATTCAGCCAAACGTCAGACTGCAGTTCTGAACGTCACCACGAGAGGACTCACTGGACTCAGCAGCAGAGTATCCTGTAACTTCAGATGTTTTTCTTCTTCTGTTGCTGCAGCTCTAAGTTCTTCTCCTCCAACGGGCTGCTGAGGGAAGTGAACGACGTGAACTCCATGAACGACTCTCTGCAGACGGAGCTGCAGGTGTGTCTCACTCTCATCTTCTGTGTTTACAACATCTCACACTCATCTTCTGTGTTTTCGACATCTCACACTCATCTT